GCCCCGGCCCCGGCCGGGGCCCGCGGGGCGGGCCTCGCGGCAGCCAATGGCCTGGGGGGCGGGAGGGGGCCGGGCCGGCCCGGGAGGCCCTCGGCTGGGCGCAGCGGGGTCCCCGCCCGACCCGCGCCGCCGCCAAGAACGACAGCGGGCCGCTCGCCCCCCTCCTCCCGAATGCCCAACGGACCCTCGCGTCGCCGTCGCCCTTCCCACTCAGCTAGAAAGCTGGACTTCCCGGCCTGTGCTTCCTGGGGACTGCCATCCAACTTGGAAAACTGGTGCTACTTCATCAGCAAGAGAAAGAGCACGCTGAAAGAGCTGGGCCAAGCGCCCCCAGACCCCACCACTGGCAGAAACTCTCTTCATTTAACCTGCGAATTGGGCCTTGCTCATCTCCCTTGCCGGTATATTTAAGGACAAGACATGATCTTCGGTGCTACGCTCTCCTCAAGCCAAGCCAAATCAGGTTGAGCACTCAGTGCAAGCTGGAGCAGCTTTACTCAGACACCATTTAGGCAGGACTCCTTCACGAGTCCAAGCACCGCTTTAAGAACACCGGCAATGAAACAAATGGAGCTCTCCTCCCAAGCCTGGACAGTGCCCAGGGTAGCGTCCGGGAATCGTAGCAGAGGCGTTGGAGGGGCCGGGGGGGCCACTGGGTCGAAGCCCTGCTCAGCCCAGGGCTCCGAGCTGAGGCGGCTCTCCGAGGGCCATCCAGACACACNCTGGGACGCCTCCTGTGCAGGAGTTCGCCGCCTCCCCAGCTCAGGGGTTCCGCCAGTCGGGAAGTTCTTCCGGACGTCCAGCTGGAGCCTGGCTTCCTGATGCTCAGCGCCCCTTGATGCTTGGGGGGTCTGGTGCTTAACTTGGGCTGGTCATCCTGAATCCCACCTGGCCCACCATTGCTAGGTGCTTTGCTCGTTCGGAGCCAGCTGCACATGGCCGGACTGTGCACACCTTGACCTCTCTGGCTTCTCTTCCAGGCAGGTGCTTGTAGATAAGGATTCTCTCCCTGTTTCTACAAAGCAATGCTAAGGCAGTTGCAGCCTGAAAGATTTCCCGAATCCCACAAAACATTGCCTATATGGGAACTGAAGGAACGCCGAGAGCCAGTGACTCCCACAATATGAACAGCAGCTTTGCAGTGCCAACCCCGACAGGCAGGTAAATCCCATTCTGCTGGCTACACAGGAATGAGCCCCACGGAGAACTCCGACAGCCCAACTTGGAGAACTCCAACAACCCAACCAATAAGTGGAGCACCACCCCCTGAAGCAATAAACTTGACATGTTTATTAATTAAACTATCACTTAAATAAAAAAGTGCATAGAAAATAAACATGTTTAAAAACTCCTTTTTTTGTACAACTATATACACTTATTTTTACATTCAGTCTTTCAGTCATTACTGGAACTATTGAAAGTACTTCCTTCATCCCTGTGACAATGACAGGGAATTAACACTGATGCAGCACGAGACGCATTTCCTCTTCTCAAAGAAAAAGAAAACAAAAACCCAAATCATTTGGAAGAACACAAGTAGAGAGAAGAAAAAGAGAAACTGGTTTTACATGATAAGTTGCGTTTCTTGTCTGGAACAGAACCCTGTTTGCGTAGCTTTTGCATGGCTTGAGACAATTATTCACTACCTGCTGCTAGTCAAGACGGCTACGTTGCATCAAAAGAACAACACAAGCACAGTTCTCAGCTGAGGCAAAGCTGCAGGACCTTGTGAAAATACCAGGAAAGCACACAGCACGGTTGGAGGATGCGGCCGCCATGTGGAGCCCCCGCGGAGGGAGAGGCGGCGGCAGTGGCGATAAACAGGTTGTACAAGGACTGACTGCAAACACTGACGGGCAGGAGAACCCACAGCCAAGCCCACCCCCCGCTTTCTGGGGGTACGCATGCAGGTGGACTCGGCCAGAACAGCTGCCACCCTCCTCCCCTACCAAGCCCCACCTGGAGAAGGCAGGCAGGTGCCGATGGGCCCTGGAGCTCTGGGCTCACTGCTTGTCCCGCCCTTTGGAGCAACTGGTATCGAAAGTTTTCAGGAGGGTTCAAAGCCAGGCTTCAAGACACAGTGCAGTACGATATTAGTTCCTATAGATATATCATAGTTACACTTCTAAAAACGGCAGGGTGTGTGTGGGGGACGGGCGGTCCGGATGGGATCCACATGATTCTGCACGAAGTATTGCTTTGCAATGGAGAAGAATGAAGAAAAAGGGTGACAGCCCAGCCCTTTGCAGCGACCCGCTTTTCCTTTAAAAAAATAAACACCTTAAAGGTTTGACTCTTAGTATTCTCGGGGAACAGGATCTGCGTATGTCAGTTCTTGGAAAGATACATTCACATTGCCGGGAAGCGGCAGAGAGCCGCTCCCTCTGCTCTGCTGCCGGGGTGGCGGAGCTCCCAGGCCTCTCTGGGGAGCCGGCAGCAGCAGCATGTGGGCTCCCCGGGGCCTGCGAGCCGCCCGACTGGCTGGGGGGTTTGGCAGCGACTGCTCCCTACAGCCAGGAGCGGGCCAGCAGCAGGAGATGCCTGCAAGCCCGGGCCCTAGCCCAGGCCCACCCTGAGCCGTGCCACCTTCCTCCATGGAGCCCGAGGGGGAAGCAGGGACAGACTCTCCGGGCCAGGCAGCCGGAGCACAGCTTTGGTAGCAGTGGGGGACACGCGTCCTGCTCCTCCTGGGCCTGCAGGCTGGAGGCTCAGCACTTCTCCACTGGCTCTGCCACCCGTGCCAGCGGCAGCTTCTGCCCACACTCCCCTTCCCCTCTTGCCTTCCCAGAGGAGAAAGGGACGTGAAGCTCGCTCGGCGAGGAAGGCGGCCTCGTAGCGCTCGCCTCGTCTCCCCGGGCCAGTGGTGGGTGGGATGGTGGGGGCCCCACGGAGAGTGTGCTGGTTGGCCCGGGAGACATGGCTCGGCGGTGGCAGGGGCGGCAGCGGGAGGCACTCTGGACAGGCCGGCTCCTCGCTGCTGCGCTGGAGGGGCCCAGGCAGGCAGGGCAGAGGAGGGTCTGGCACGAGGCAGAGGAGGCCATAAACGCCGAGCTACGAGGGGTGAACTGGCTGGGAGCTGGATATTTACCCCCCTGGTGCTGGACGTGGAAGAAAGGGGTGGGGTGGGGGGCAAAGGGAATCCCTCGCATCCAAGGTGAGCCAAATGCCTTGCTGTCAGGAGGAGATCCCGACACAGGATGTCCAGGAGTCCCTCTGGAGTGTGTGGGAAGGCCTCTGCTCACGACGCCCTGGCCCTTGCCCAGGCAACTCCCCGGAAAGCGTGGCCACGACAGTGAGCCGCCTCTGCTCCAGGGGGAGGGACAGGCTGCAGGCTTGGCCAGCACCCTCCTGAAGCCCCTTCCGATGAAAAAAGGGCAGGAAATGGATCCATTTAAATTAGGATGACGCCACAATTGAAAAAATAGTCTCCTAAGTGCTCTTCCCTCTGAAGTGCTTCTCATAGAAAAATATACAAAATATATTTACATTTACAAAACCTTAAATACTAAACTGTAAACAGAACCATGAAAAATCCAATGAGATAGTTAAAGAGGGCGCAACTGAAGAAGGCTGGAAGGGAGGGAGGCGTGCTGCTTGCGCTGGCTCCCCAAGGGCGCCAGGAGCTCACTTGGGTGGGGTGGAGGCAAGGAGAGCCGCTTTCCTAAACTGCCCAGAGCAGTGGACTCACAGCCTGCAGCTCGCCAGGAGTGCGGGCCCCACACCTCAGGCCCCGCTCCCTCAAGGGGCTCTCTTCCTAGTTCGCAAGACAGCAGGGGGAGGGAGGCGCTTGTAGCTGCTGCAGGAGCCACCAGAACACGGTCCCGGGCCTGCTGAGGGGGGAGCGGTCTGTTCCCAATTCAGGATTTCCATCTGGGGCACAGACACAGGGGGAGAAGGGCCTCTCTGGATCCGAGGCCTGGCAGGGCAGCGGGCGCCCTCTGCCAGGGACTGCTCCCTGGCAAGGGCCGACTCGTCCAGACTGGAGCCCCTGACGAGCGGGGGCTCGCAAGAGCGCGAGGGTGTCTGGCGGGGTTCTCTCCACCGCTGGCACAGGATCTCCACGCAGCTGCCCCTGAGCTGCCAGTGAGGGCCGGGCCAGGTCAGCTAGCAGCCACCCCATGCTCATTCCCCATCTGAAGAACTGCCCTCTGCGCCGCCCCCCCGGCACCCAAGCAGCCACGTTCGCCTTCAGGGCGAGCGGCGGCTGGACCAGCTCCCTGCCAAGGGCTGCCCTGCACCTGGCCGTGCCCCTGAGCCCCGCGGCCCGCTGTGCCCGTGCCCGTGGCCGTGCCACGCGGCCGCTCAGTTGAGGAACCGGCGGCACTTCTTGGCGCCACAGTTGCAGGGCAGCTTGTTGCTGGCATCCTCGATGGGGAACTTGTAGTCGTAGGTCAGCTCCTCCCCACGGTAGATCTTGCGCATGGCGAAGATGACGATGTGCTTCTGCCCGTCGATGTTGATGACGCGGGAGTAGCAGTTGGGCTCGCACGAGTGGTTGATGAACCGGGCCGCGTTGCCGTGCATGGTGGCGTCCACCACCTCCGAGTCGTCGATGCGGAACATGTAGCACCCGATGCCCTGGGCAGAGAGGGGGTGGCTGTCAGAGGGCCCCGCCTCCACGGCCTCGCGTCCTTCACGTTTCTCTCCCACCCTGGGTGGCTCGTGAAGATTAAAAACCGTAAAATACAATATTGTGCTTACTGCAAAATCCTTTGCACCCAAACAGAAAAGGGGGAGCGCCCCTCCCAAGCCACCTGGGGCAGCGAGTGATCAAAGCAAATCCAGGACCTGACCTTCCCCCCAGGCAGGCACAGCCACGTTCAACAGAATGACGGCCGAGGCAAACAGCAGCACCAGTGCCCGGCGTGTGGAGAAGGTCCCCAGGCGTCCTGGTCCAACGGGCTGGAGCGCTGTCATGCCGCCAGGGGAAGGGCACATCCCGGCCCCCTTTGAGCACACGACCGGATCGCACGCTTCCTACGCAGGCACCTGGCCCTCCTGGGCTCCCACTGGGCAGGCATCAGCGCCCCTTCGGCAGCTTTGGCGCCAGCAGGGCTCCCCAGAGCGCCTTTGCGCTCTGCTGCATCTTGTGTCCTGCTGCAGTGTGGCCAATTCGGACACACGGACTCATCCGGCAGCAGCCAGGCCCCAACAAAGCCTCCTCACAAAGTCTCTTCCAACAGGGGAGACACTTCCCACCAGCTCTGAAGCTGCTCTCAGTAGCCGGCGGATTTTATGAACAAAATGGAAGGCGGGTTTGCCAAACTGCGGAGTTCTGTGTGTCTAGAAGCGCTCCTGCTGCTGCTTTTGCCTCGTGCAAAACTTTTGGTACTCAGACACTATCACGTGTAAGAAAACCCCCGGGGCTTGACTGTGCACTGCGCAGCTTTTCTTCTTTCCACCCACTGCAGGGCAAGGGCATTCCCAACAAAGCCACCCGCTCACTCTAGAGACAGCGCCTCACCTTGCTGTCATAATACTTCTCACGCTTGTCAGTCAGGATGGAGCGGATCACATTGCCGGCGTACTCGATCACCATCTCTCCTGCATCGATGTTCCTTTTGCAGAACAGGCCCCGGCCGTGGATGGGAGACCTGGCAAGGAAACACACCCTGCAGCCTCTGTGCCACGGAACCTAGAGACCTTGAGCCAGTGCCCCCGCCCCCCAGGCCACAGCCAGATCCCTTGCGAATGCCCGCAAACAGCCAGGCGCACTGGGCCTGGATCTCATGGCCCAGGTGAGCCCGAGCTGTTCTGTCCTTCCCATCAGCCATCCTGCCGAGATGCATCTTTTGGTCAAAACTCCGACATACCTGTAGACACCAACTGCCTCCTTGGACGTCTTTTTCAAGTGCCGGAACCGCATGGGCATGGGAAGGTCCATACTGGTTGCCCTCCTGAGGAAAGGCAGGAAGCGGATTGCTGGAGAGACTCTTCAGCAGCACCTCGCCCAACTGGCACCCCTCCAACGGCCAACCCCTCTCACTCCTCTGGCCGAGCCGTGAGGACAGAAGCGGCCCTGGCGCCTTGCAAGGCCAGCGGCTCTTCGCCCCACTTGGAGTGTTCCTCAGCCTGCCCCACAGGAGAGCCAGGGCAGCCGCAGGGGACCAAGTCTGCTCCCACACCCGCAACTCTCTGCAGCTGCAGGCGAGAGCAAAGGGAGCCACCTCCTGGTCACCCCTCATAACCCAACTCGCGCCGGCCCCACCATGTACCGGGCAGACTTCAGCTGCACCTCCTCTTCCTCCTCATCATTGGGCTTGTATTCTGGTGGCTGCCGATGCTTAGAAGCCAGAAAATTGAACATGTCAAAGGCAGATTTCCTGAAGTGCAGAACACACAGGGGTTAAGCCGTGCAGTCACCTGGAGCAGCCGGTCCCTCAAGGGACACATGATCCTCTGCTTCCCTTCACCCACTCCATAGCCTTTCCCTGTGCCATCTGTCACCCAGCCATTCCCAGACAGGCGGGCTCCCCACTGCCTGGCTCGGCCCAGCCCGGCCCCAACCCTTGCTGCCAAGACCCTCTGAGATGCTGCAGCAACCCTCTGCTCCCCCGTCACCATCACCGTCCCCGAACCCTAAAGCCGGTTGCAAGTCTGCACGACCAGCGCAAAGGGCGCTTTCCAAAGTGCTCTGTGGCCCTGAGCTCCAGTTTCTGTGCCCCCCTCGGCCCCAGCGTGAGAGGCGCCGCTTTCCCTCCGCCAAGCCTCTCGTTCGGAGTGCGCCCACCCCCCACTCCACGAAGGGCCCAGACGCCTGCAGGAGCTCAGCCTCTGGGCTCCACTTGCCTGAGGTGCACCTCTGCTCTGGCAGAGCCGTGCGGGTTCACGGGGGGCTCCTTTGCTTCCTCAGGCTTGTGGAATCTGAACTTGTAGTTGTGGCAGTGCTTCGCTCCATAGAGCTGTTCTATCAGGAATACAACGGCGTCGTGGAGGAGGCCCAACATCCGCAGCCCGCTCACACCTGGACCAAGGAGAGGAAACGTGTGCCGGAAAGGTCGCCCGCCCAGCCTGCCCTCTGGCAGCTCAAGTGGGATCGTGCCGGCCGGCAGGCCTACAGAGGTGGGCAGGCGGCATCGCCTGCGGCCCCCTCCCGCTCTGGGCAGGGGCTCAGGTGCCGCTCACTGCTGTGCTGCCGGTACCTGCAAAGGAGAGCTGCTTCAGGCGGGCGTTGGAACGAGCTTCTTGAACCTTGTCAGTCAGGGACTTCCAGGCCTCTGTGATGGCAAGAACAGAAACACCGAGTGGCTCACTGGGCAGAAGCAGCATCCCGGGAGAGCTCTCCTAACCCATGCGACCACCAACAGCTGCCAACGGTGCTGATGCTTGGCACACCTGGCCGAGTTCTCTTGCAGCACCTGAAAAGGCTCCCCCTCCGGTCCTGCACCCACCTTCAATACTTTCTGCACATATCTGAAAGCCATCGTCGCTGGAGATCTCGAACAGCAGCCCTTTCTTGGGCTTCCTCTCAGCCAGGCCCTCCTTCCGCTTCCGCTCCTGCTGCAGCCAGAACATGAGTGGGGAGCTGAAGGTGGCCTCCTCGTCCTCGGGAGCTCTGCAGTCTGCAAGGGAATGATCAGCACCCAGTTTGCCCCGAGCTCTCGGCCAGGGAGGCCTCCAGGGGCCGGGCAATGCCCAGCGCCCGGGAGAATGCACCTGTGCGCTCAGTGCACTGCCGAGTTCTTCTCGCAGGCGGGACTGACACAGCACACCTCCGTGGGGCAAACGGGACGCCCCCAGCACCCATACTGAACACCAGCTCCCTGCAGGCATCCTGGGGGGCAGCATACCTGTGTGCTCCTGCTCGCTTGCGTTTTGTGTTGGCTGTGATTCTGGGAGAGAAGGTGTTTGCCTGTGGAGAGGACAGTTACAAGCCACGTGGGAGGCCATTCGTGCTTTCTGGCAGAAGCCTTTTGGGGTTTCCTTTAGCGGAAATGCCTGCCTCGAGGGGTTGGCAGATGAACCCGATGCCAATCAGGTGGGTCCCAGCACAGCACCAGCCACCTGCTCCAGAAACAAGAGGCCCGGGACGTCCGAAGGGGCCAGCATGTTTCAGGCAAGCCAAGGCAGGCAGGTGCAGACTCCCCCCGCCCCCCTGGCAAGGCCACAGGAGGTGTGGCATGTTCCTCCATTGACGGAGCTGCCCAGATGTGACTAAGAAACAGGGCCCCTCAGGGGGAGCTTTTTCTGTTGTGCTAACTATCCATGCACTGCTCTTTATCATCACAGGGGGGCATGCAAAACTCATTAAAGCGACGACAGAAATAAAATAAAAAGCTAAAACCAAAGGAATCGGGAAACAAAACAGGGCGTGGCTGGCAATTGTCGGGGGAGTTTTGAAGCCCACGGTGCCCCCAAAGTCGCCTGGCTTGCTCAAGCCGCAGAGCACCAGCACGGTCAGGCAGACGTGCCCCCCGCCCGAGACCCACTCACCTTGCTGCTTTGGGAGGCAGCTGCTCTGTGCTTGCAGCCTCCTCCACGTGCACCTTCAGGGTGGAAATCCTGCAACAGACAGCAAGCGTGAGCGCTGCCGCTGGGCCACACGTGGCCTGCCAAAGCCACTGCCAGGCTGGAGGCAGCCAGAGGAGCACACGGCTTCCCAGCGCTCCGTCTCCTGGACTGCCCAGAGGCGGTGAACGAGGGGAAGGCGCCCAGCTGCAATGGGGGCAGGAACCCCCCTGCTCCCAAGCACTGAGCCGCACCACCCCGCGCCGTCTACCGGCAAGCACTGCCGCCACGGGGCAGGTGAGCAAATCCACCTCTTCTTTCAGACCTCGCCACCTTCTAGCTCTTTCCACCCCGCCAATTATGGAGGACATCTAGGATAGTGCCCGCTACACGGCAGCTGCCCAGTTTGGATGCACGTTCAGTGCAGAGGTGGCTGGCTGACTACTGGCTCTGATATTACTTCTGCCAGTACCAGCCGGAGGAGAGACTTGATGAAACAAAAACGGCAGGGAAAGAGGAACCGGGAGCGTCCTGCGCTTACCCTCCACTCGAGTCCTGGGCAGCCACACCGCTGCCTCGCTGGGGGGCGTGTGTCTCGGTGGAGCTGGTCCAGAGGTGTGCCATCTTGTGCTTCTTCCCAGGCGCCCTGCTCTCCACTGAGGGCTGGAGCCGTTTGACCTTGGGCTTCGTCTTCAGGGGTGCCAGCCCGGGACAGCTGCCAGGGGACTGCTCGGCAGAAGGGGAGCTCCCGGGAGCAGAGCTGGCCTGCGTGGCCGCGGAGAGTGGCTTGTCCACCAACGGGAGAAAGCTTGGCAGGGGAGGGGCTTGGGGCGCAGGGATATCCACCGGCGGGGGAACGGTCCCGGGTTTGCTGGCCAGGAGCTGGGTCAGAGGGCCGGGCTGGTAAGAGCCTTCGGGCTCAGTGGTCAGGCCGATGGACTGGGCGGAAGGCAAGACGCAGAGGCTGGGTGCGGATGCTGTGGCCGAGGAGGTGGACTGAGCTGACGAGGAAGTGCTGCCCAGTGGTGGAAAGAGCCCGGCGTCAGAGGGTGGCCCTGCAGCTGGCTGCTCCGGGAGAGCCAGGCCCTGCTGCGTGGCTTTGATGAGGAGGCTGCTGAGGGAGCCCATGTCAGAGACTGCCGGCAGCCCCGGGCTTGCTAAGGCCAGGGAGCCCCGGCCCAGGACATGCTGCCCAGGGATGGACGTGCCTGTGGTGGGCACGGAGGGGGTGGGCATGGACACCACGTTCAGCACCGAGGGGGCCGAGGCGAGGCTTGGTCCTGGGCCTGCCGCAAGGTGCCCGGCCTCTGGCCCAGTCACACTAGCAGGCGTGCCCACCACGGCTGACGCGGCAGAAGCTCCCACCCCCTGCGGCAAGAGAGCAGCCTGCTCGAAGTACATCACGCCCGTCTTGGAGCGCTTGATAATGTTGGGGACCGTTCGGTGCGAGGCAGGGGCCCCGACGGCCCCCAGATCGAGCAGGCCCGGGTGTCCAGAGGAGAGCTGGGACTGAGAGAAGTTGATGAGCGTCATGTTGGACGCCATGTCTGAGGGGGCGATGGCCAGCTTCTTGCTCTTCCGTGACTGCAGGCGTGCGATCGGTCGCTTCTTGCTGAGGCAGGAGGGCGGTGTGCTGGCCGCAGCCCCAACATCGGCCCGCTGGTTTGCGTCGGGGTCGGGCGGCTGCTGGACGCCGATCAGGAGGCCTGAGGGCGGGTTGCCAAGGGCCGGCGGGAAGCCTCCTGGAGGCGCCGCGGAGAACGAGTGCAAGTGCTGGTGGTGGGGCATGGGCAGCAGCCCCTTGCTGGTGGGCGGAAAGAGCGGCTGGGAGGAGGAGGGCAGGCTGGGGCTCAGCCCCGCCGCCAGGGCAAGCCCCGTGGTGCCCATCGGCCCAAGCACGGACGCGCTGGGCTCCATCACCCCCTGCGCTGAGCCGACGGAGGAGGTGAGCTGGATCTTCTGCGTGACCCCGTTGGGGAGGGTCTGCAGGACATACAAGGGCTGCATGTTCTGGTTGACCACCAGCAGCTTTTCCGCTGCTGCCTTGAGGTGGAGCGGGGCGGTTTGCACAGCGGCGTTGGAGATCTGAGAGGGGCCGGCGCCGTCGGCTGCGTTTGGCCCACCATACTTGGACGCCTGAAGCGGGAGGGTTGGGGACACAGGGACCTGGAGCCCCGGCGTCCCGCTGTTCCTGGCCAAATCTTGGCTGGGTCCGTGGCTGGCTTCCACCGGCCCGCAGGGGGGGCTGGCGATGTGCTCTGTGTCCATGTGACCCTGAATGAAGGGGTCGGGGGTCAAGGGCCCGTCGGGGCTTGGTTCCACTCGCGGGCTCAGCAGGGCTGGCTCTCCATCGCTCGAGGCAGACTTTTCTGTGACAGTCACTCTCTTCTCAGCAGACTCGGTGGGAGGCAAGGCCAGCATGGACCGTTCCCCGGAGGCGGAGAGGGAAGCCTCGGAAATGACGGCGAGCCGGCCATGGCTCTGACTGGGCACTGCAGGGCTGCGCGTGGTCAGGACAGAGAGGTCCGAGGGCAATTCCAAGGGCAACTCAAACTGCTCTTCTGCGGAGATGGACGAGGAGACACTGCTGTCGACGGGCTCCGCTGTGGGCAGCTGCTGGGAGAAGACCTCGAAGAGGCCCATGTCCTTGCTGCGGTTGCTGTCGAGGCCCAGCCCTTCCCCCAGGGTGAGGAGCTCGGAGGACGAGGACTCAGGGCTCTCCCCCAGGGCCTGCATCGAGGGCGTGTTTTTCAGGACAAAGTCCATGATGTCCGACGGGAGGATGTTGCCGCAGTCATCACTGTTGTTGTTGTCCGAGTCAGACTTGAGCAGCTCCGTGCCGAAGGGGTCAAGCAGGTTCTTCTCCGAAGGTTCGGCCCCGGCGCGGGTTCGACGGCTGGCAGGCGACTCCAAGGAGCTCAGCTGCGCTTCCAGAGAATCCTGACTTGGCGCTTTGACCCGGCAGTTCTCCAGCTTGGGCTCGGCAGTTTTGTGTCCAGTGGCGCTCTTGGTCACTTGCGCTTTCTCCGCACCACTGTCTTCGCTGCGATCCAGTTTGAGGCTTTCAGTCCCATTTTCTTTGCTGCTCCTTTTGGTGATGGGATTGACTTTTCTCGATGTCACTGTGATGCTGGTATCGCTCTCTGTTCCATCATCCACGCCATCAAGCTGGGAGATCTTGGGAAGACTGAGGTGCTCCTCTTCCCGGAACAAGTTGTGGGGTGCGAGGTGTTCTTCAGCGCTTGAGACCACTGTCCGGGTGAAGTTGTAATAGTACAGGTCATCCTCATCCGAGGTGCTGAGGTCGTCAGCACCGTCCACCTGTCCCTCGGCAGAGCGCTTTCCCCGCTTCTTGCCAGTGGAGTTGCTGTAAAAGGGAATGTCTTCCTCACCATAAGATCTCACACCGTACAAGGGAGTTAGTCCAAAGAACATGTTGGATCTGGCCCGGGCACTGCGCCGGGGGTACCGCCGCTTGTAGGCCCCATCTTCCTGCGCTTTGGTGCCATCCGGGAGCATCAAGCTGCTTCCTTGAACAGGAAGACTCTGGTAGAGGCTGGCCGGGGCCTCTGGCGCTGCGGCACCACTCTGGCTTTCCGGGATGGCACAGTCACTGCCTGGCAGCTCCAGGGCTGAAGAGGAAGACTGCGCCAGAGAAACCGGCCTGCTCTCCTTTGCCTGAGGGTCGGCCTCGCTCTCTCTTGGAACGTTCTTGGACTGGCTCTCGCCTTCCATCTTGAGTGGGGTCAGAGTTACTTTCACTGTACGCTTCTGGGAAGCCTGCAGGTCCTTGGATGCGGCCAGCTCGGCCTGGAAAGGAGCGCTGGGTGTCCTCTGGCTAAGCTGAGTGGTGTCTGCAGCCTTCTCGGCAGCAATGTTGTTGCAGTGCCGCTGGTTAACGAGCTCGGCCTGATGAACAAATTCGGGCTCAGCAACTCCTCTGTTGCAAGCTGGGAGAAGACCCATACTTGCAAAAAGCTTGCTGGAGTGTCTCTCCTTTGCCCCCCTTTTCATTTTCTGCCTCCTGTCCTTGCCCACACAAAGTGTGGGGTCACTCAGGAGGGGAGGCCGGTGGCTTGCCCCAGAAAACACAGAGGAGGCCTTTGCCTCTGGGTCCTCGGACGAGCAGTGCTTCTCTGGCTGCACGAGCTCCACCTGCTGCTCCTGCTCCTTCTTTGGGGGCTTCTGAGCTGGCAGGGAAAACGCTGCTGGTTCCTTGGAAGCGAAGTGGCCGGGAGGGGGCTCTGCCAGCTTCCCCACTTTGCTGGGCAGCTCCACGCTCTGCCCCTGCGTGCCCGGCTTCGAGACCCCGGCAGACATGCCAGTGTCTTTGGAGCCCACCAGCTTGCCTTTCTCTGCCGCCCCAACAGGCCCTGCCGCAAAGGATGGGAGTCCCTCCACAGGAGGGGTGCCCTTGCTTCCGCTCACTGCTGCCGGCCTCTGGCACCCGGGAGGGGCAGAGCTGTTCTGCATGGTGGCACGCAAGGCTGCGGGGCCCGCAGGGTGCTCGGCAAGCTTTGCGATCACGTCACGCTCCGGGGAAGGCCCCAGGCTCGGCACCACGGAGATGCTGTGCCTCGAGGCCGTGGCCCCGGCTCGGGTGGCAGGCGGCATCCAGGGCCTTGGTGGCTGGGTGGGGGACAGCGGGGAGGCGCTGTGCCTCCTGGAGCCGATGCTCCGAAGTCCAGATGACAGCAGTGGGTCTCCCACGGTCACGATCTCGTGCGTCATAGGAGTGGGGCTCCCTGGAAAAGAGAGGGCAGCTTTTTTAAACAGATGCGGACTTGACGGAGCCAGAGCTCAGCCCCCTGACCTCCCAGTGCGTTCAGGCCTGCCCAGGCAAGGATCAGCATTGAGCCCCGACCCCATGAGCCAGGCTCTTCCCATGTCTAAACAGCTCTGTTCCTCCTCCTGTCCTAGGCAAAGCTGTCAAAAGGGCCATCAGGAAAATGCTCGGAGTAACTTAGGGTTACCTGCGCCCATCCAAGGACTCCTTCTCTGAGAAGATGACAGGCAACTCCAAGAAGTCTCCCCGTCTATGAGACCCGTGGGAGTCTGGACTCCTACGGAAGAGGACCCCAGGCCCCCTCTGCAGGAGAGGAGGCCACGTGACCCCCCAGCCCGAGACGCCTTCGCCTCAGGAGCAGGCCGGCAGGGCTCCCTTGAGAAGTGCTCCTCGCAAGGGAGGGTTCCTCAGCTGCAGAGGCTTCCTCGCAAGCCGGAGTCGGCAGAGGGCCTGAGCCGGGCGCAGGGCCTGGAAAGCCCTGCTAAGCAAGCCTACAGTTTGGGCCTGGCCAGTGCAGAAGCGCCTCTGCTCCACCAGCCCTGGGGCTCTGCAGCTTGTTCCCCTGGCCTTGCCTTCCCACTGAACCTTTGGACTCCCGTTTGATTTTTCGCTCTTGCGTGGCACATTGCATCTGTTTACCGACGCTTTGACCTGGGCTGTGCCTCAGAGCTCTCCCCCGGAAATCATCCACGCCTACTCATACCATGCTTGACCACTGGCCTCCTTTTGCGATTTGCCTTTCGGATTTCTTCTAACACCGAGTCTGACCCAACCACCGCAGGAAACTCCCCACCCAGCCCTGGCTTTGAGCTACAGTAGCACAGGGCTCATCTTCACTATCCTGGATAAACATTTCCTTGCAGTAAGAAGAGCAGGCTGCGCCCCCTGTGGGGGCCTTTCAAATTCTGATCCAAATCCCAATTTGTGTGGCACACGCCACAAACTGCCATGCTTGTGACTGGCAGCTGGAGGGCTTTGCTTCACTTCCCCAAGGCTCCTTTCTGCACAAGGCCAAGTCTCCGCTCTTCCACGGTGGTACGAGTCAGTTGCCAGTCTGGGATACCAGAGAGCACGGGCTCTCCTTCCTCGAAGTACAATGGAGCATGCCCTATCCCATGGGCTTCTGGACAATTACAAACTGCTAGCAGGCCTGACACAATCCACACAATCAGGCTGATGCAAATCAAATGAATTCAGAATGCAAGTGCGGTGGCAGGATGAGGCCCGGGAGGAGACAGCCCTGCAGCGAGGATGCCTCCCCCTGCACCAGGACTGCCCACAGTGATGCCTTGGAGGTGGCAGTGGGGGCACAGGGAACCGAAAGATCGCACGCTTCAAAGCCCACGCAGGTGGCTTGAGCGCAGGAGGAGAAACACTCCCAGGCCACTGAGCAGAGCTCGGAGGCCAGGCTGGGCGTGGGCAAGCAGGTGCCATTTCAGGAGTGAGGACAAACACGATGCAACAGCCGGGAAAAGCCATGGGGAGGGGAGGTGGTGCCGGGCTCGGAATTGGGTCGCACCTGCAGAGGGCAACGGCCTTGAACCTGGCGATCGCTGGGCAGGGGAGAAACTCGGTGTTCTAACCCGCAGAGTCTTGCAGTTCTGAGAATGTGGAGGAAGGTCTGAAGACAGAGGGCTCGCCACAGCTGATACGGCATGGCCCTCTCTGGCTGGCATTTCATCTGCAAAGAAAAAGGGACAATGTCTTTATTCTTTATTTACTGTAGGATTTATATCCTACCTTATCCGTTAAAAAGTCTTCAAAGCAATTAAAAATAAAAAACTGATGAGATCAGGAGTGCCTGAATTCAAATACAAAATTATTTATTTAAAACTTTTCTATACCATCCCATACTTAGACGTCTCGAGACGGCTTATGACAAAAACCAAGCCACATTTGAACAACAACACACTGGGAAAGAAGTGGGATGTGGTGGAAAAAACATTTTTTCTTCTCAATCACGTCTTCTCTCTTTTCCCCTCTATCATGGAACGCTGGTGGAAGAGCCATTTGGGGGAGAGATGGGTGGGATCTGCTGGTTTCTAGGCCTCAGGAAGCAAAGCATAGGGTGTGGCAGTCCCCTGTCAACGGGGTGAATTTGTGCTATCTAGAAGCACCTCTTACTCTGAAGCGTTTTTCATGCAGCCAAGCAGTGAAGACTCCACTAGCTTGATTAATCCCAGGGGCTGATCCGGCTGCACATGCTTCAGCCCCTCCCCATGCCTGCGGGATGCAGTTCTGCAGCGAAGCATGGGTCGCTCATTAAATCCAACAGCCAAGGGTGTGGATGGTAGGACAGAAGGAGCCCCTCCCGCCTTCCTCTGAAAGCGAAGAACTGCTCCCGGACACAGCACAGAAATGCACCAGCGGCCTTCTGAAGAGGAGCACCACGCGGAGCATTTCTGTCTCTGAGGGATCCCTGGCAGTCATGACGTGACGCCCAGGCTGGGAAAGAGGCTTGCCTGGAAGGGGCCCTGGGCTGTGCGCAATTGTCCGGTTGTCGCCGTGCTCTACAGTTCTGTTGATGTCTGGCTCCAGGATTGGGGGACGGCACTCCATGATCTTGCAAGTGTACACGCAGCGCTTCCGGGCGTCGGTCGTGCTCCAGTACACCCGGGAGCATCTGGAGAAACATTTCACAGGCATGGCCAGGCTGGCGCAGGCCACCTGCCACACCTTCGCTGCCCCGAGGTCCCCAGCAAAGCATCTCCAACTGTGCCAGGAGCGCCCCCAGAGCGCCTGCTGCCCACTTACTGGTAGCCGACGGGGAAGAGCTTGTCTTCACAGTCGGAGAGGTCGCTCAGCATCCCGAGACAGTCAATGGTCATTGACCCTGCATGGAAATGGAGCAGAATGCGGGCGGTGAAGGCCGGCAGCAGGGCTCCTCTGTCTGGATCTCTCACTGAGGCCAAAGAGCTGAGGGCTTACCGATCATCATGTGGATATTCTCTGGTTCGAGACCATTAAGAAATTTTCGCCTCAGGCTAATCCCCTCGAAGTCCACATAGACTCTTCTCAGCACCTCAAAGCCATTCTCAGGAACCACCTGTGCAGGCAGAAAGAGAGATGAGGGCCGGGCCGGGCCGGGCCTGGGCAAGGCGTGGCGTGCTGCAGAACAGGGAGGAGAGGAAGAGGGGCACAGGTGTGGGCCTCACCTCTCCCTTGATCAGGTCTCTGTGGCGCTGGCAGTACACTTTCTTATCCTCTAGGAAGACACAGTGTTTGGCCCGGGAGCACATGAAGTGGTAGTTGCTTGTGCAGGAGGTCAGGCAGCAGCCCACTGTGGCCCCTGACTTCTGGCAAAACTCACATCTCTGCAAGGTTGTTGTTAGGTTGGGTTATTTAAGTATTTTATTATTACAGCCAGTGTCCTAAAGAGATGAACCAAACTAGCACAATGTAGTAAAAGGCATACTTTATATTAGTTCTGTAAAGTGGATAATCTGATCAAGACTGGGGTATAGCAAAAAAAACAAAAACAAAAAAAACTCAACAGAGAATTTTTGCCGTACCACCGATCTCAGGGTGGGAATCTGTCAAACAGAGCCAGCAGTCTTATCCAGATGTCTTATTTGACTTGGGACATCTCAGGTTACTGAGGCCCCAGAAGGTACTGCATCCTTCTCATTTCAAGGAGAGAGTCACCTGATTCAGTATTTTCTGCTTCAGCCATTTAGCAACAGAGCAGCTCACCACTCTGAAACTTGCAGGTGCTCCTAGTTAATGGCAATCATTTATTTTCATTTAGCACATTTCCAATCCACCCACCAACTAATGTTCTGAGCAAATTACAACCCCTTTGAAACCTAATGTCCTTTTAAAACACAGTTATATATGTAAAATACCATACACATATTTGCAATAATAAAACAGAATAGACCGCAAAGCAGTAAACAACTTAGTACTGGATAAAGGAGTCAGATTAATCGAGAACTCGGTCTCTAGAGGGCCTGGGAGAAAAGGGAGGCCTTTGCCGGGCCCCAAAAGGATAGCCACGCAAATGCCAGAGGAAGCTGTTCCAGGAGCAGCCCCTTCCCTGTTATCACCCATTTGGCTTGCCTTGGCAAGGGCCACTGGAGGAGGCCTCTGAGGATGATCTACCTGTCCATGCAGGTACACCGAGGAGGCAGCCTGCTGTTGAGCGTTCTGCTCTTAAGCCATCAGGGGCCTTCAGCAGCACCGCCTTCAGCTGGACTTGCCAACGGACTGGAAGCCAGTGCAGCAGAAAAAGCGCAGTCCATACACACGCAAAACAGCCTGTCCCAGGGGGCAACCAGCGGCCTTATTTTGCACTAATTTAAGCTTCCAATATGTCCTCCAGTGTAGCCCCACATGCAGCGCCTTGCAGCAATCCAAGCCGAGTCTGCCAGAGCATGGATAACCGCCCATCCAACCCTTTCCAGACAGGAGCACACTGGTGTGTCAATCTAAACGGGCTTCTGGCCACCAAGACCACTCCGCCCTCATGTCATGCTCAATGGATCCAGGGCTGCCCCCCCACACCAACATGTCCTCCAGTCAGAGAGTGCGCCACCATGGGGGGCGGGGTTGAGTGGCAGCCAAATGGGAAGCGGGGGTTACCCGCTAACAATTACCACCATGCTGGAGGGTTGGCGTGCATCTTTTTGCACAGAGTGATCTGTGAATGCCATTACTTAAAATCGGAGATGCGGGACCACGACTGGATGGGGCTCCTGGGGCAGCCTCAGTGCCTGTGGCCACATCCACACACGCTGCTGCCCCTCCCCACCCATTTTGCCTTTCTTTGTGCTTGGCCGGCCCCGGGAGGGCCAGCCTCGGTGACGGAAGGGATGGCCGCCCTCCTTGCGCTGCATGAGGCCCCTGGCTTCAGGCGACGCACGGCCTCAAGCACCGCCCCCGCCACCAGCCACGTTTGCATCCCTGTAACAACAGTGGCGGCTCCTCCAAGGGGCACGGTTTAGGGCCAAGCCACGCCCCAAGGGGAGCCCCAGTAAGGCTCCACATCACTGACTTGAAGTGCACAGAGTCAGGCCATCAAAGGCACTCGCCCTTCCTGCAGTCACCTGGCAATTCAAGCCAAAAACGAGCCGGTCCTTTGTGGAGTAGCGCAATGAGATTTTCAAAATCTTTCTTTGTTGTTACAGCAGTGAGAGAGGCACATGCCAGCCCTTTTGCACATGTATATCCTGCCTTCCGGTAACGCCTCCTACCCACCAGCTGCTTCCCTCGGATCACTGCCACGTGCACATTCTTTAGGGAGCCGTCATCGTCCTCAAACACTTCGGCTGACCACAGGGCACAGTTCACATGGGTCCACTCGTTCTGGCCAATGTAGAGCAGACGGCCAGCGTCCTGCAGGGAGGCAACAGGCCGCATGAGCAGGAATGCGGATGGCACTGGCGGTCAACGAAACCCAAGCCGCTGGGCAGGTGGCACAGGAGCCGCCATGGATGAGACGGCAAACTTGCTGGAGGGAGCCTGGCATACCACCCACCGGAAACAAAAACTGGAGAGCTGCTCTCATTTACTTACTTATAGCTTTCCAGCTCTCACAAAACAGTGCAAAACATTCATATGAAACACAAGATATGTAAGCCTTCAACAGGTGTTTTCCTGTTTTGATCACTGGCTATGCTGGCCGGGGCTGCTGGAGGCCAACAGGCCCCGGAGGTCTCTCGGCTCCCCATCCTGAGTTAAGCCACTGAAAAGATGCTGAACGCTGCTGGCCCAGGTCCAAGCTTTGCCGTGTCCCTGCTGAATGCTCCCTCCACTCTGATTTTGGTTTTACAAACCAGCTGCCAGTCTAGCTGAATCCTCCAGGCTACGTTATCCTACCCAAGGAGCTAACCAAAACACCAGGGGACCTTATTCTAATACTCCCTGAAATCCAGACTGATCACTCTCACAGCATCTCCATGACCCACTAAGCTAGTGTCCAGGTAAAAAACTGAGTCCAGGAGGATCAGTCCAGCTTACCTGAACCAGGTGTATGACAAGGACCTGAAGGTAAAACTTGTTCACCCTCAACACAAGAAAGTAAGACCTGCCTTATACTTAATGACATGCAAGTTCCGGCCAAAGTGACTTACGTTCCCTCCATCGTCACCATACTTCAGGCAAAGTGCACACTGCCGGTTGTCTTCCACATCTGGAGGTGGGGCGAGTTCTGGGCTGTCCTCCCGGCTTCTGTCAGCACCTCAAAGAGAAAAAGAAGTATTTAACACCTGGAAAAAAATGACTACAGAAACTGGCTGATTTACAAAGCCCAGAGCAGCAAGCAGTTCCAGCCCTTGCTGGGTGGTTTTCTGCTGCTCTCGGAGATACCATTGATGTCGTCACCATTCCCACCAGCACCATCCCACTTTTATCCTGCTTCGTAGCCCACTGGGTTCTTCGGGGCACTTGCAGGTTTAAAGATATACCCAGGAACAGAAAAATGATCATAGTTAGATGCTCTAGATAATAGCTACAACAAAGTGACAACCTGTGGCTGAGTCCCAGCCCCAAACAGTGCTCAAATGGCGCCATAAGGGCGCCGTGTGGCTGATCCCCAATGTGCCAAGCCCCTCCAAAATAAGCAGCAGCACAATGAATGACTGAGAAACTGAGGCAGGCTTCATCCCAGCTTAGGGGAGCCCTGGAGAGCTGCTGGGCTGGAAGAACAGCCTCTGGCCAGGCTTCTCCAGCCGCCTGACTCTGGATGGAGAAGAGATACCTCAAGTCCCGCCAAACCTGCCCGTCCCCAGAGAAAGAGGCAACGTCACGGAGTTCCTCACTGGATATCGGCGGTGTAGGAGGGTGCAGCGGAGTCGGGGAGTCCGGCTCTCCAGGCCCTTTGGGTTTTGGCGCTGGAATGATCTTCTTCATCAGCGGGGGCTGTTGAGCACAACTGTTTTCCTCACGCTCCTGCCACTGTGCATAGTTGTGGTCAAGGGATGGGGGCAAGACGGCATTTGGCAGCATCCCACTGCTAAGAGGCAACAAGAACACGGCCAAGCATCAGACCTGCAGCAGCTCACGCGGTCCCCTAAAGATCCTGTGACTGCAGGACAAGGTGCACGTCCCATTGCCTTTCAGGCTGGCCAAAAGGGTCCCCACCCTATAGCTACAATCTAGGCCAGGCTCCAAGCGCATGCAGGCAACTGCTGCCTGTTGGAGGAGACCCCACTAGGAAAATCAATTCCGATGTTGCACCTGAGGTGTGAGAAGAACAGTCAACTTTGTCTCTAGGTAGGCAGCAGCACCTAAGCGAGTGGAGGCAAAGCATATACTTACTTGGCCGTGACTTTATTTGGTTCCCAAAATCTTGATTTCTTCACACTGAACCATGGAAATACCCGCTCCATTTGCTAAAGGGGGGAAAACATCATTTTATTAGTGGCATTTTACAAGACTGAAGAGTGAAAGATGACTATCCAGACAGACAGGAACAACGGGTGAATGACTTAGAAGCCAGCCGAGTGCAGGAACTGCAGGCATGCATCAGCTCGAGCAGAACAGTGGCCTCCTCGGGATGCTGAAAGGGTGGCCTCACCATGCACTATGGAGGTCCTACTGCAAATGATTGTTACATTTGGCTTACCCGAATAAAGAAGGTCTTCACCATGCTGTTGGCCTTCTTAAGTTCCGGCTGCCCTCCGTCGGCATTAATAGCTGCTTGGATTATCTTTACAATATCATCACTAAACTCCAGCTGGAAGAGAAAAGCAGGCAGCGTGCTACCCTATTCTGTGCGTCTCTTTCCCCCACTGTCAAGTGACCAAGGGCCACCCTTTCATCTCCACACTTTTCATCACTTTTCAATTCAAGGTGTTGGTGATCACTTATAAAGCCCTAAACGGCTTGGGTCCTGGCTACCTGAAGGAGCGCTTACGTCCATATATGCCCGCTCGCCCCGAGATCAGCGGGAGAGGCCCTTCTCCGGGAACTTCTGTGAAGGAAATTAGGAGGATAGGTACTCGGAGGAGGGCTTTCTCTGCGGTGGCGCCCAATCTATGGAATGCGCTCCCCAGAGAGGTCCGCCTGGCACTGTCGTTATTTGTTTTTCGGCGCCAGGCCAAGACCTTTTTATTCAAGCGTCATTTTAATTGTTAATGTTATTTTTATTTTAAAGTTTTTTGGCCAGGGCGACTTATTTTATACAGTTACGTGTATTTTATATTGTTATTTATGTATTTTAATTTATTTATTTGTAAGCCGCCCCGAGGCTTTGGTGAATGGGGCGGCCTAGAAATTTTCTAAATAAATAAATACAATCGCTATCCAGAGCAGCATTACAAAATACAACACAGCAGCATGGCTACTTGTCAAGCCACCGGGAAAACAGGTCTAGCAAAAATGTAGTATTTTAGAAACATTTCCATCTATTCCATAAAGAGCAAGGACAGTTTGCTTAATTGTAGTAGGTTCTTCCAGTGGTCACCTGAGTACTCACACCTATGATTTCTGCACCTGTGCAGAGCAAAGCTTAGCATATTCTAGAGCCGAGCAGAGTTTTGTCAAGAGCCCTTCCCTCGCCCGCCCGCCCGCCCTGCATGAGCAGGGTATGGACCTTGCTCGGTTTCTGTTCTGCTACGCACAGAGACCACAAAGCAGACGGCAGCTTTTATTTTAAAAGTTCCATCCCGTCTCCTCCTGCTCCTGTGTGAGCCAATGGCAGCGATACTGAAAGCCGGAGGGGGAAGCTGCCCGCCCTGGGACTTACCACAGAAGTATACCCCCCCTGATCCATCTTCCTTTTCACTCCCTCCAGGTCCAGGGGCTGCTGTTCTTCCTGCTTGCTGACTTCTGTCAGCACAGGAGGGTCCGGACCTTCTGGAGAACTTCGGGATGGGACATTCTCCTCTGTCTCAGGATTTAGGTCAGGGGGTTTGGCTGCCTGGAGAAGGATAATCAGAGGTCACATTTTTTAAAAAAATCCAGCACCAAACAACACACATCGTGATATAATCAACAAGACGTCAATGCAGTGTTTCCTTGGCAGATTACAGGGAAGCACGGGAAAGAACAGCTCAACTGTTCAGGTTAAAACAAGCCCCTCGGCCCCTAATGAAATGTCAGTTTGAGACATCACGGTAATTCTTAACCTGACACCCCCCCCCCATTACTATTGCCAAGAATATACAGCTAACTCAGTTTTTCTTCCAGAAAAAAAAACATTATTATTGCTGCTGTTATTTATTTCATGTCTATACCACCTGGGCGGTTTATGACAATGTATACAAAAACAATAAAACACAACAGACAAAAACATTAACAAGGTTTTTTTTAAAAAATAAAATAGACAAAAATCATTTCACGACAATAGAAAGACCCAGCCAAGAAAAAAAGAAAGGCACCTTGATAATTGTGCCAGGCCCCTGCAAGGCCAGGAAGGTCTTTAAGGGCCTCCGCAAAGATGGCAAATTTGGCACCAAGTGAACCACAGCGGGGAGGTTGTATCCAAGATGGGGGGCCACCCCAGAAACCACCCCCCAATTGCCACCCTCTGAGGGTCAGAGGTTTTAAGCCCAGCAGCTCGACTCTTTGCAGTTAACATCCAGATGAATTTGCACAGTTCCCAAAGCAAGGAGAGGCAGCCCCACCTGTCGATAACGCAGCAAGTGGCTGGTCGTCCTGGAATTGAGCAGGGCTGTGAGGACCTGTCTCAAAGAAAGCTGCAGCTCCTTCTCCAGGGCCAGTCGCCATTCGGCCGGGTGCTGCTCTGTGCAGTTGATGCAGGTGTAAGCCACACTCTCAGGAAGGTTGGAGAGGATCTCGTACATCTCATCTGAAGGCAGGCAGAGATGAAAGACATTATGGAAGCTGCATCTCAGAAGGCTGAATGTGTCGGATTGGGGTGGGCAGGATGCACGGCAGGGGCAAGCGACTGCAGGCAAAGGGCCTCAACGTGCAGGAGGGGGGTTCCCCTTCGCAGGGCCTGGAGAGCACATCGCTCTGTTTGCACACCCGGAGAAATCACAACTGCTAGGAGAATGCGGCTCGGTGATCCTCCAAAATGGGCTTAGATAACACTCTTCCCCGTGGCTATAAAGTAAAACCCCAAAACACTCAAAAGTGAAAGAGCCGCACTCACCCTCCGATCCCATCGCAACCACCGCGGCCTGCACAGCGGGGCTCCCTGCGAACCCTCATTCCACAGCCCAGGATGTTCGGGGGCCCCGGGGGCTCATTCTGCATTCCCGGGCCCTTCCACCCTCCACCAAAGAACTTGTTTACTAAACTGAGATGAACTTAAATCTGAACTTAAAACTGAACTTGGTTAAACTTAAATCTGCATGAGCTGCTTGACTGTAAATGCTGCTTCTCTGGACCTGGGGCCTCACCGGAGAGGTTTTCGCACTTGGAATGGACCCAGCGATCGCACTTCCCACACTGCATCATCTTGCTCTCATAGTCGTCGTCATCATAGCACTTGTCACAGAGCGGGCAGAAGTTCCCTGCAAGGCAAGCACAGGCATGATTCTGGCCTCCTGCACAAGCACGTGCGAGAGGCGCTGGTGAGTGGGAGACGCTGTCCAAAAGCGAAGCATGGCTACCAATGGACTCTGCCTTTGAAAGACACTGAAAATCACTGCACTGGTCAATTTGTATTGTGGCACCACAGGTGATGTCCCTCCACCCCAAAGCAAAGGTCACATCCGGACACAGAATCCCCAGACACTCCCAGTCCCCCTGTACCTTTAGCAAAGAGCTTCGCACAGTCATGGCACAGAGAGAAGTCATGAGACCACTGGGCATCCCACCCTTTGCCTGGCGTTGTTGCCCCACAGCTCTTGCAGCGAACACATTTGGTACAGATCTGGAACGAAAGATCAGGGGTTTAGGATTCTGTTCAAAAACTGTGCTATCGTGGGCGTCACAGAATACGTGACCAGCACGGAAGGTTTAGTCACTTCTCCAGAGGACTGAAGCACCGTTAAAATCCATCCAAGTCCTAGCAAAATTGCATTTTTTACTGCCTGAAACACAGCAGAGATGCTGCTCTGCATAAGTGAACTGGGATACACAATGGTTTTCAGTCCACCTATTTTGCCATGAGAAACAGGTGGAAATGCCATAAACAAGGAGCATGCAATGAACGCGGATCCCCTCGTTCTCTTGTACACAGCGAGTGGCTTTTTTGGGAAGGGGACACCAGGCAAACCTACTTAGCAGAGGGAAAAGTTACGACATCTGCCTTGCAAATACCCACATGACGGAAGAACAGAACTTACCCAGACCTTCTTCTTCTTGGTAGGCTTTGTTGGATAGTTGGGTCCCAGGCACTCTGGGTGGTAGCTGTTTCGGCACTTGTTACACTCCAGCAGCTGCTGCAGAGACAGGAGAAACAGCGAAAACATGTGGCCACACCCAGCCTGCAGAGGTCCGGCAGCAGGGCCACGCAGCCTGACTGGCCCGCTGGACTGAAAATCGTTCTTGGTGCCAGAGCGCAGGGTGGAAGCCTGGGGTCCCACCCAGACACCCCCAGGGACACCACCGCACCGCACCCGCCCTGCACTCCGGAGCGAGAACAGCCGGCAACCCTGGCTACCTTGGTGGCCTGATGCTGCCTCCCACACACATGGCAGAACTTGCAGCGACGACAGCACCAGTTCTCCAACTGGTCCTCCAGGGGGCGCTCACTGTCCTCTAAACAGAATTTGTGGAAAGGTTCACAGCACACCTGACAATACACAAACTACAAAGGAAAGAGCAAGTCAGCAGGACCGCGGTGCCAGGGCTCTCCACTGCAGCCACCTGCCCAACCACTGGCCCAGGAGAAGCACACCCCCCCCGGGCATTTTGTGCTCGCCGTTGGGTTCTCAACTCCACACACCTAATAGGCCTGAGAAACCACCCATCCATGTTCAGTGGAAAGGCAAAGCTAGGCCAAAAGACCCAAACTGTTTGGCCACGCACCCAGAACCTGCTAGTCTGATTTTTTGTCCTTGGGCTGCTTTATCTCCAAAGTGCAGGCCCGGCACAGCAAAGAGCGACAAGTGTTGCCCAAGCAGAGCCAGGGTCTGGAGGGGATGCCGGCAGCTCGCCCACGCTTTCAGGGGCAGGCAAAGCTGTGTTTGGCACAACGGCACACCCTACAAAAATGATGGATAGTCTTTACTGAGGATCCTGTTCCACCTCTATGGCTCAAAGTCACTCAGCTTCACAATCAGATATGCAGCATCCTTTGAACAGCTCAGAGTGGCCTTCCCACCCGGATCCTTACCTCCACATGCCCACTGCTGGCACAAAGGAAGCAGACCACTCGGGGGGTTATAGGGATGGAGGTCAGGATACCCAAGCCACCCATTTCCCACACGTTCTCAGCCTCGCAGTCCTCCTGAAAGCCACAAAAACAGGACGGTCAAAGAGGAACCAGCAATGCCAGTGCAGGCCGTGGCCACGCCAGCATCCTCTGGCCTGCCAAAAACCCTCCAGGAGCAATCTCGCCCCGCACCCCAAAGCAGGAGGACCCGCACACTGCGCCATTCTGCCGTGCCATTGGCCAAGCGCTGCCGAACCGGAGCTGCACATCTTGCTGCGGGAAGCGAGAAGTGAGCAGGGCTGCGGGGCTGGCAGCTGTGGCCCCCGTCGCAGCGGGAGCAGGCCAGCAGAGCTGCCACGGCGCGTTTCAGTGGCACAGCTCCCGGGGGGCCGAGGGGAGGACCTTACGCCCTGGGCTGCCACTGCCCGCCACAGGTTCCAAGAGCCCCCTTCCTGGCGGGGAAGGCAGCAAGCAGCTCCCCAAGGCACCCCGCTACCTTGAAATCCACGCGGATCCTATGGATGCCATCCGTCAGGGGCTTCTGCTTGGAACTGCTTCCATTCGATAAAGTGCTCAGCAGGTTGAGTGTGCTGTTCTCTGGTTTATTGGCCGGAGGGGGCTTTTCCTGGATGAACAGGCCCAAAGCACGTTATTTTCTACACCCCAAATTCTCTGCTCAAGCTCCACCAGGAGGCACAGGATTAACGGTCTGCCTGCTGCCTCGTTCCTGCTCCTGCAACTCTTGGCTGAATTCCCATGTTACTGCCTGTCAAGGGTCAGGGGTAATGAGGGGATTCCCCTCCCCAGGACCGGGCAGCAGGATGCAGGGACTGATGTGCCTGCGGGCTGGTGACTGTCCTCCTCTACTTCAGACTTGGAAAAGCAAAGAGGAGCAGCAAATGCAAAGAGCGTCTTTGCATTTTGCAATGGCCAGTCCAATTTAGAAAGCGCAACTCATTTCAGCAGATGCACAACCATCTTTTCATGGCAAATGCGCTCTCCCTGAAAACTATTGGCCCGAAAGGACGCGAGTCCTGCTTCTCCTGAGTAAAAGAGCGTTTCACGCAACGATCACATGAAGAGAAAAGGCATGATGAGAAGAACACAGGCCCCAGCCTGCCCTTTGGGAAGCCAAACCAACGGACGCCAAGCAGCCTGGTGGGAATTCCCATTGTGTCACCCTCATGGGCTCTGTTAAAAGATTCAAACATGGAAACTCTTTCTATCTACCTGAGACAAACAGCAAAGAGTCAGTTACCTTTTCTTTTGGTTTCTGTTTCACTGGTAAACTTGGTCGAGGAGTGACTTTCTTCTGTTTGCTCTGCTCTACGCCTAGGCAAAGTATACACAGATTTGTTGCACACAAAGAGTAGCCTCTCGACACTCAGAGGGATTCGGGGGGCTTCAAGATCTGGCAACTTGTGGAAGCAGAAAGCAACATGCTGCTCTCTCCTTGCTGACACAAACACTTCCTGGGTGCTGAAGCTCAGCTGGGTTGCTGTGCCCAACCATCCTTCCTCTGAGTATCTCCCATGCACAGAAGGAAGGACTGGTGCCCTCTGCCTGCCTCTTTCAGACTAGCCCTGTACACATGGAGCACTGAACAAAGCATGGGTGCTTGAGAGCTACGAAAGGGACCACGCCCCTGACCCTGGGATCGCCTCTCAATCCTTCCTTGTGCTCTTGCAACTGGATGCTTCACTCACTGTGGGACAGGTGACTTCTTTCGCTGCCCCGGACCCCAAGAGCTGAGGGCTACTAAGCTCCTCTCTCCTTTCCACTGCCACAGCCTGACTTGGGAGCGACCGAGAAAGCCAGTCACATCTGGAGCATTTACTTCTCTGCCTCTTAATGGATGTCCCAGAGCTTCCTGTGCAAGCAAGCACACAAGGAGCGGTTCTAGAGGAGGTCCTGGGCCTGCAGATCAGGGTTCCAAAGGTTCAGTGTTCTGTTCCAACTCTGTTTCTGTTGGGCTTCAGTAAGTCTTACACCTCATCTATGTATTGGCAAAACACGCTTACATAAGCGTTCAAACGTGTTCTATAACTCAGTCTTTATTTTGTTATCTTCAAAACAATAAGCATGCAGCCCAGCCCAAGAGAAACTCTGCCCATCCAGTCCCTGAATTTTGGGCCTCATTGGCCGAAAGGTAAAGGGACAGGCCGCGACCTGTGCCAGGCTTTCCGCCTGCCTGCTTTCCAAGAAAGGCTCCATATGTGGTAAAGATCACATGGTAGGCTCTGCATGTGGGCGTGCACGCATATTGGAACGGGATGGAGCTAGGAATTCCAAAGCATTCTGGGGAAGAGGTGATGTGGGATTCCCGCAGCATGCCATCCACTTCCTAACATGGCCACCCAAATATGCCCAAGAGGCCTTCTACTGCACTGACAACCAGATTCTGACAACAGGTGTGTCCAAGTCTCCCTGTGCTGGAGGCTGCTGCCTTACCAGCAAGGGCCCCGGCGCTCTCCTTCACGCAGGAGCTGCCGTCTGCCTGCAGCGCATGTCAAGACATACCTGGCTCTGGCACTGGAGCTGGCTTCTTCTTGGGCTCGGCTGGAACAGTTTTGGGGGCTTCCTTCTTGGGTGGGCCTGCGCTGGGAGGCAGGGTGGGGGGCCCCTGCTGAGGGGGCAGTGCCTGTTTGCCAGTTTTCCGGGGAGGAGCCACAGGAGGAGGGGTCTGTTTAGCATCTGGAAGGGGTGGCTGTGGCAGCGGCCCCTCCTCACTTGGCTTCCGCGCAGGCTCACTGCCCCTCTTGGGGGCATGATCCTCCTTCACTGGGACAAGTGTGGGGGCTGCTGCCTTCTGCCCAGGCTCCGGCTGGGCCTTCCCAACCTGGCTCTCTTTCTTGTCATTTGACTTGGATTTCTTCTCTTTCTTTTTCACAGCTGCAGAACAGATAAAGAACACCCCATATGCAAGGGCAGGGGGCAGAGCCTGAAGCGGTGCAATGTGCAGGGGGGAGGGCAGCGCCTGGGGGAAGGGCTGACCCACTCGTGGCCTCCCAACTCATACTTCCCATTCTGTCTCTCCAATGCCTACCTTTGGCTTGCTTCTGCAGATAGGCTTTTGATGGCATCCACTGCAAATTCTGACATTTCCTCATCCTAGGATGAAACGAGCGAGTTGGGAGAATCAAGGGGGGAGATGGTGGGGCCATCACCCTACACAAAGTGTTGCCTTTTCATCCAGATGTTACAGAAGGCTTTTGGCTCAGGCATATCCTATGAGGCCTTCAAGAGAAGGCACTGACTGAAGGACACAAGCCCACCAGAGGCTTCCGTCATGGACTGTCTTGGGAGCCCAAAAGTCCAGATCAACTGGGGGAACTGAGCGGAAAAGGTCACATTCTCCCCTGCCAAACAGGACTGGTTTTGCTGCGACAGTTTTCGCACTGCACTGAAAGGAATCTCCTTCTGGAGCCTCTTCTGGCATACAAAGTTTTTCCGAAAACTTGAGTAGACCAAGCGGCTGCTCTCGTTCCCAGCCTGATGAAGGTTTGGAAGCTTGCCCGCAAGGCTGGCCTGGCTGCTGCCAGGGAAGCTGCTCAGATCCAGCGTCCCATAGAGCAACTACACGGAAAGGAGACGCTCTTGCAGTGGGGCTCGAGCCTCGGCGCGCTGCAGACTATCCCACCTAGTCAAACTGAAAGCCGGGGAGTTGGAAGGAGGAAGGAAGCTGAGCGAGGCAGGTGATGCTCTGGGTTCCCCCTCCCCGCTGTTCTCACGGAGAAGCCTGCAGAGCCAGATCGCCCCTGCGCGTTCTGGCAGGGCAGACGGCGCTCAAGCCCAGAATGTGGCAGTGGCCAAGCATTTTCCCCGAGCTGCATGCTCTGCATTGGGCATTTTACGGGAGGCATGAAGGGCATGAGGAGAACGGCCGCCCTCACTCCGAGCCCGAGGGAGAGCCTCTGCTCCCCCGGGAGGGGTGGGGGCGGGAAAGCCTCACACCCACGGACTCACTTGCAGCACTGCTTCTTAATGTTCCGCCCACCAAACTTTGGCTTATCCAGGCAATTTGTGCACACTCCGCAGTCCTCTGGCACCTGGCAGCCTGGGCACTGCCCACAGCGCCGCGACCGCCGGCCCTTCTTCACGGGAGGCTCCTGAGGCGCCTTGTTCCTGGTGACCGGCTTAACAGGCTTGATGGGAGGTGCAAGAGGCTCAGCATCTTCTGAGCCAGCAACCGAGGACTTGTCTGTCAAGCAAAGGCTGGCCGTTAACTCAGCAGCCAATAAAGAACCGGCCCATCGAAAGAAAGGGTTTTGGGCACTGCTGCAGAACGACCACTCTGCTTTCCTAAAGCAGCAACCCAGAGAGGAGAGCCCCCTCCCAGCTGCTGGACGCCCAAGCATGCCCTCTTTCTGGCCCCGCACGGCCAGAGGCCAAGGAAGAGCAGCCCCGCACACTTACCATCATTCCCCATGGAAGAGAGTATTTTCTCCCGTTCCTCCCATGGTAAGGCACTCAGGGTGGGCATGTCGTCCGGGAACACCGCTCGCTTGCGGCCTAGTGCCACAGCTGCCCTTCGGCAGACGTGTTTGATGCGCGGCCCTCGCACAGAAGTCTCTGAGGAATCGCTCTCCTGACCCTGGTTTCCGAGGGGGCAATGGACAAAGAGCGCATTGGGGAGAGGCCATTCCGAGCCCTCGGGAAAGCAGTGCTACGCAACAGACAACACAACTTCATCCCTCTAGAACCACCTCAAAGCCCCTGACATGAAGCAGGAGGCATTGCGTCGGCCATCCCTTTCTGAGCTTCCGCCATATCTCCACTGCCAAGCCCATCCTAGCCACAGGACAAAACAGTAGAGTGCAACCTTTTTTTTTTTTAAACAACAGTGACTTTAAAAAAAATGTCAAGAAAGCAGTATGACAAAGGCAAACCATAGCTTGCATTCTTGCTGCAGTTACTAAAATGCAAAAAGCATGAGCTGGTGGGTGAGCACAAGGAGCCTATCACATGTGATGCCCATCAGAAGTGATACCGAGCCACATCCACTTGTTGGAAGACCATGTCTGGGCCACCTGGTTAGCTTCCCAGAACTGTTGACGGAGGAAAGCAGTGCTAGGCAACAGACAACTAGAAGCTAAATGCAGAAGGAGCCCAAGCTCTTCTGCCACCAATCTGAAAGTGTTGGAGACATTTCATTATCTAGAGCAGTGGCGGCGAACCTACGGCACGCGTGTCATAGTGGGCACACAGAGCCCCCACTGTCGGCATGCAAGCCAAGTCGCCCTAGCATCGCCCGAGCAGCTGAACATCAGATCACAGTGCACATAGGGGCCATGCTCATGCTCAGAAAGGAGTAGTGGTGCCAGGCTATGGTGTCACAAGCTGAGACACATTAGCCACAACTTGTCTGAGCTTTCGCATGGCCAGTCAGTGCACTGCCAAGGATATATATATGTATTTACTTGGACTGGCTGATTTCAGGTTTTATTGCAGTGTTGGCCAATAAGTGGGTTTAGGGTTGCAGTTTGGGCACTTGGTCTCTAAAAGATTCACCATCACTGGGTAAAGATTAGAAAAACGAGGTGTCCTGACATGATTTTGATGGTTAGAATGTGTTTAGAATGGGCAGAAATGATGAGCTGGGCAGAAAAAGCTGCTCAAGGAAGGCTTTTTCAAAATCGCATTATTTTCAATGGAACTTTAGCCCTATATTAGGGTTAGGGGTGTGCACCAGGATAGGGTTAGGGTTAGAAAATCGAGGTGTCCTGGCATGATTTTGATGGTTGGAATGCGTTTAGAATGGGCAGAAATTATAAGCTGTGCAGAAAAAGCTGCTCAAGGAAGGCGTTTTCAAAATCGCACTGTTTTCAATGGTATTAGTAGGGTCACGGCAGTGGTGGCGAACCCATGGCACGCATGCCACAGTGGACACGCAGAGCCCTCTGTCGACATGCGAGCCAAGTCGCCCCAGCATCACCCCAGCAGCCAAGCATTGGATAACAGAGGGGCCATGCGCATGGTCGGAAAGGATTAGTGGCGCCAGGTGATGACGTCATGTGCCGTGGTTTATTATCCGCGACTCGTCCGATCCTTCACATTGCTGGTCAGTGCGCTGCCCATTTGCTTGGACTGGCTGTGAAGTGTTTTTTCTAAACTAAAACCTCAGTTTTCCGGTTTTATTGTAGTGTTGGCAGTTTGAGATAAATATGTGGGGTTTGGGTTGCAGTTTGGGCACTCGGTCTCTTAAAAGTTCGCCATCACTGATCTCATGGGACTCATGAAATGGGACTCAGCAGGCACGTTTCTGAGGTTGCTTCCAGAAACGGAGGGCCGTGCTGCCTCCCCACCCTTCCCAGCTGGCACGGGTCTCATGCCTTTGCTCCTCCCACCACCAGTGTGTCTGGACTTTAGCCCTGGCTCTTGCCTCCACACTCTAGCTCTTTTACCGCTACTGCCTGGGGAAGTACCTGTCCTTTTGGCTGATCCGTTTGCTTGAGGGACTTGCTCTTCTCAATCTTGTACAGCTGAGCCTTTGCTTTCTTCAGGAGGCTGGCCACCCTCTTGTCGGTCATTGGGAGCTTGTCTGCGTGAGCCAACACTGAGCTGATGGAGGAATGCTTCACAATGCTGACTGCAGTGGCAGGGAGACGCAGGGAGTCTTCCTTTTGTGGTGTAGGGGAGGCCAGGCCAAGTTCCAGGCCAGATTTTTCTAGCCCCCCTCGGCTTTTCTTGGGTAGCTTGGTTTTGACGATGGCGGCGGCAGAGTCCACAAGAACCACTGGTGGCACGTCTGCTGCCGGATCAGCGGTTGCCATTGCTGCTTTCTTCCGTCCTGCAGGTTTTTTGGCAGAAGAAGAAACAGCCACATCTTCGCTGACAACTTTTCCTTTGGAAACACGAGCCAAGGGAAACATCGTAGAGCTGCTCTGGCTTTCAGGATCCTTTTTCCGCTTCTCCTTCCTGGACTCCCGCTTGTTTTCTTTCTCTCTTTCCCTGTCCCTTTCCCTGCTCTTCTCCTTCTCAAGACCTTTGTCACTTTCTTTATCTTTGGAGGCTTCCTCGATGGCTTTGTCTTTGTTCCTGCCCCGCTCTGTCTGGGAACTTGGTGTGAACCATGGAAAGAGGGGAGCAGGACCGCTGGAGGAGAAGGGCTCGGCTGGAATGCTGGCCTGCTTCCTTGGTCTTGGACTCTTCTCAGCTGACTCCCCAGGCTGGGAGAGGGAATGGGAAGGAAAGGTGAATGTGGCAGAGTTTAAGGCACTGGTGCTCAGGGAAGCCACTGAAATGCTTGCTAGGGAGGAGGAGACCGATGCCGACGGCGTGAGAGAGGACAGATCGGAGGTGCTCAGTCTCCCACTTCTTGTCCTCATGGAGTGCGAAGGAGACCTTGGCTCGGAGCGAATGGGGCTGAACACTCTCCGCCCGCGCTTTCTCAAGGAGGCCACCGCTGCATTGCTTCCGGCAGCGCTTCGACCAACGGATGAAGGCAGCGTGACGGACTCAAAGATGCGCGAGTGGGCCTCGCTCGGGGTGAACCTGGGAGCCCGCAGCAGCGGGCTTCTCTTGTGTAGATCAAACCTGGTTCCGGAGTGGAGCGGTGAGAACAAGCGGGCAGGAGCAGTGGCCCCGGCGGCTGAAAAGCCAGAGGCAAAGCCAACGTCCTCGGGGGTGAGTGGTGGCGGGCGGAAGTTGTCGAAGATAGGCTTGCGGATGAGCCCTTCTTTGGCATACTTGGCCGAGGAGAAGTACTGGGGCTCAGACCGAGAATGCTTCAGGGAGGTCCAGCGGAACGTCGGCTCTCGGAGAATGGACTTCCGCTTCTCTTGCGTCGGGGTCGCTGAGGAGGGCAAAAAGGGCGACGCCAAAGGAATGGTGGGAGGCATCAGCCATGGAGCATGGTCAGAGATGCCGGCAGGCGGCTGCAGGGGCGGGGGCGGGCTGAGGAGCGGTGGAGGAGGGGAGGAGGAGGAGGGCTGTTGCTGGGATACATTTTGGAGGCTGGGCAGTTTTTTAGCAGCTTTGGGCACAAAATTTCTTTCTCCCATTGAAAACCTCCTCCTCCTCCTCTCACCACTCTCGTTATCGGGGGACGGGGAGATGGGCAACGAAGAATGGACTTCTGGAGGATTGTTGCACTCTTCCGACAGAGCCTGCATCTCTTCCGAGGCCTGAGAATCAGTGGATGTATCGACACTGGGACTGCTGGACCGCGAGGAGTCCGAAGAGAGCTGAAAGGAGAGCTGAGATGCCCCGCTGGACTTCTCGCTGGACTCACACGAGGTCGCACTGAAGCGGCTGTTGGGGGTGGACTCTAACCGTGCGATCTTGATGGGGGGGTCGTAGTCTTCATCCTCGATGAAGCGCTTGGGTGTTTTGATGATCCTAGAAGAGATTGCACTCACCACGGGCATGATGAACTGTCGGATGTTCTTCAGCTGTGTCCTCCCCTTCCGGCCCTGCAACTTGGCAGCTTCCTTCTCGATCTTCTTTTGGGCCCCTTTCCTGGCCCTCTGCAGAAGCTGCTTGGCAATGGTAGCATCTGTGCGTTTGGAGGAAGGAATCATCCTGACCGGCCGGCGAGGACTCTGTCTGACCGCCGGCTTCTCCTCTTTTGGGTGGGGTGGAGCACCATCTTTCTCTTTCCGAACTCGCTGGGCCTTCTCCAACTGGGAGCTCACAACAAGAGCCGGCATGGTCTTTAAGCGGTCCGAAGAGGGCGGCCGTCCCCTCCTGCGCACTATCTGCACCCCATTCCTTCCAAGTTTGAACTGGGACTTCAGTGGGGACAGTTTGCCTGCCCTTAATTTCTTAATCTTTGCAGCGTGCTGAAACGCAGAGGATGGCGCCCGCTTTATTTTCTTTAGATTCTCTTTTTCTTCCTTGCTTCCCTTCTGGGCACTGGGAAAGCCCTCTTTGCGGGCGATTTTGAACTTCACACTGGTAAGTGCAGGAGGTCTCCCTCGCCGCTTTTCTCCGTTTGTCCTGATTTTTTCCATGGGTGTGGGTTCTGGCTTGCTTGAAGGCAAATGCACTGGCAAAGACTCTGAGAGTACGACTGTGGTTCTGTCTGAAGTGTTTCGGGGTCGCCCACGAGGTTTGCGTGCGCTAGCTTTGACTGATGTTGGAGAAGAAGACAAAGAAGGGAAAGAGAACGTTATTTGTTTGCTTACAGCATTTATACCTACTTTTCAGCCAGAAAAGCTCCCAGAGTTGTTTATACATATGATAGTCCCTCTCCACCAAACCATCCAAAACAAAAGGAAAAAGGAACAGGGAGGGAAAACGGAAATCTATCAAACTCATACACCAATTCTGAACATTATACAGTTTTTAGAAGTATTACAGATTTCTATGCCATCCAAACAGCCCTGCAAGAGCAGCATCATCTAGTAAAGGGAACATGGGAAACCTGTAGCCAACAGAACATACCTGTAGGAGACTTGGCAGAACTTTGTCCTTTGGCCTCATCATCTGAGCCAAAGCCTAGGAACTGCTCATCCTGCAAAGAGAGAGGGATAAAGGTCAAGCTAGGGGCAAAAGCAGAAGATGGACTTGAAAATCTCTAGCAATGTAAAATGCCTGCTTCCAAATCAGTGGAGGTTATCGGGCACTGCCACAAGGACCCCACAGGAGGAGGAGGGAGCCATTTCCTCCACTGAGAGGAGTTCGGGGATGGTTGGGGTGGCAAGTAAACCGCTTAGTCGCCTTCCCTCTGTGTTCCAAATTGCAGCCTGCTTCCCTGTCCCGGAGCACCTAACAAAAGCTCGGTGAAGGCAGTCAACCCAAGCACTGCATCAGGCAGACACGGCAACCGTATGAGGGCTCCCCAGCCCAAGCGGAAGGATGCAGCTACAGCAGCCTGCAAAAAGGGTCCCAGCCCCATACGCGTGATAGGGCTCTTCACTGGCAACATGGGAGAACTGCAGCGGATGCATCCCTCTGCTCCCCAAGAGACACCCGCACTGACTGCTGCAGTGGCAACTTCTGGCTCATGTGTTCAGGCTCTTTAGGCTACTGCTTGCCGTCATCCCTGGACTCAAGGCAGACACCCTTGTGAGTCAGGATGAGCCAGCGCCCACTTTTTGTGTACTCTTCTTTTGTGTACTCCACTCTAAACTATGCTGGATTGCTTCATTTTGGCTCCGGCTGCGCTGAGCCCCACAGACCTTGCCTCCAACTCCCACATTTAAACCACTCTTGCAGTCTTTCCTGAACGCTTCCAAAGAATGCCGATCATCCCTCTCCCCTTCCCACAGGTGCGACTGACATATGAAAGAATATTCCGGTGGGGAAGGAGCCCTGTGATGGACCACAGCTAGGAAAAGCTGGTGCAGGAAGAGCATCATCTGCTGGAACCCCATGCTAGAGAAGTGCCTTCCTTCAACATCCACTGGGGGAGGAGGCAAAGTGGTCGCCTGCTTTCCAGCATTACACCAAGCGGCAACTCTCCTGCCAACCCAGAAGGAAGCAGGAGGCGAGATGTGTGCCAGACCCCATGCCCATCGGGCAGGACGCTCCTCTGCAAGAGGCCGTTTCATGACCGGAGAACTTGGCCACGGCTCCCATGGCCAAGCCGCTGAAGCGGGGCAGCTGTGCTCTGTGACAAGCGCATCGCATAGCGGCTCCGGTTTTGCACACCGCACTGCAGAGAGCAGCCGCCACAGCATGCCTCCGCTGCCAGCCACTCCCCCTAGACACGTGGTGCTCCCCGCAAGAAGTAAACAATGTGCGGCTGAGGAAGGCGCGCCGCTTGCTCAACAAGCTGGCAGAGGGCAGCTGCTGAGCAGCAAGAGGGAGGGCACGAGGGCGGCTTTGGTGGCTCCTAAGCTGGAGAGGAGTGCGCAGGCAAGCGGGCAGAGATGCCTAGGCACGCCATCGAGGCTTCACGGGCCACTGCCTAGACAGCCAAGCCATGCGCTCCCAGGAACGCCGAATGAAGCGGCAGTGCCGAGCAGGCACAGGGACACAATGCTAGGCACTCGCCAGCCTCAAGGGGAGCAGCTCACCGAGGTGAAAGGCTGGGTGTCATCCCACACGCCAGCGACTCCAGCCAAGCCACCGTGCAGCAGCTCTGCTCCTTTCTGTTGTTAGCGATGGAGAGGCTGAGAGAGCAGGCGGTCCAGGGGCCCGTGCTCAGCCTCCCAACTCGAGGCTCTGCCAAGCTCTCCAAGCCCATATTGATTCCATGGCACCCCCTTCCCTGTCCTTCCCAACACAAACAAATGCTTCACTTTCATAGTGAATCCTAGACCAGTCACCTCATCACACTGACTTTTTGGCCTGATGCATAATTCTTTCCATGCTCAGTCACTAAGCACCTCCCTGCAAATCACTGGGCAGTTTTTGGCCTCTGCCATAAGCCTTCCACAAGAAGGTTGCTGGAACTGGGATGATACAAGGCTAAAACAAAGTAGCTATGCAAAGGGAAACAAGCAGGCTGCAGTAAGCAGACAAGCATACGGTGGCTGCACTGGCCTTTGGGAAGGACATACAAGAGCCATGGGCCACAGCATGGGCTTTGCTCTGTCGAAGCATCCCTGGTCGCCCGCGATGGATAGGTGCAACAGTGGTTCTCATTTTCTCTGTTTTGTGCATCAGCTCAGTTCCTTGTCCAAAGCTTTGCTTGCCCTCTTCTTCCTGTTGTGGGTGAAGCTACTTCCCCACCACACCATCCTAGAAGCAGTGGGGTGTCTGCATGCTAATACTGCATCCTTGCCAGCTGGTGAAATAAAGAACAAATGCGGGCAATGCAAGCAAACACGGGAGCAGAGTCGGGGTCGGACCATTCCCAGCTGCCTGGAGAAAGGCTGAGTCTATGAACTGCCCGAAGAGCCAGTGTAGGAGATTTGAATTCTAGTCTTCATTTGACCCTGAATACCACTGGGTTACTTCGGGCAGCTCACAGACCCTCAGTCCAACCTACATTACAGGGTTATTGTTGTAAAGATAAAATGGAGCTATGTAAGCCATCTCAGGTTCCTCACGAGTGGGAAAACAGCAGCATATAAATGCAACGAACAACAGCAGCGACAACAGATGACAAGGCCATGCTGCTGCGCATCCCTTATGCAGTAAGCAGAAGGCTCCACGGTGGCCCCAAGAAAACAGGCTGCTGTCCCAAGGCAGGACAATTTAGTAAAGTCTGCTTCATGCAGCGCTGACCAAAGGGGCAACACAGCACTGAAATTAGACGCGTCTGAAGGTAACACTGGACTGGCATGCAAGACCTGATTGTTTCTGGCAGGAGGTAAAGAGGTCCCTCCCACTCATGCCCGGACATGTCCACTCAGAAGCCAAGCTGCATTCTTCATGTAGAGTTTCACTGAGCAGTAGTTCAAGGGCCAAATACCCACTTTGCAAAATGGAGATTTCTCAGGCTGTATGAAATGACAGATTCTGTACTTTGCAACTGTTTGCTTTGCAGAAGAATTCCCATGCTGAGTCAAGCCAATGCTACATTAAGAAGTGTTATATTTTGATCCCATAAAAGGATCAAAGAAACAGTCAGTACCTTTTGGTGCCCAAGAGGTCACTTAAGATGGAAACTGCCCTTCTGGTTCTCACAGCTATTCCAGCCATTCGCCTCAGAAAGGAAAGCTCATTTCTTCTTTTCCTGCTTCGCAAAGGCAATCTTATTGCCACCCTCATGGCCACCTAATGAAAAGTGACTCATGGCACATCTTCATAAAGGGGAGGCAAAGTGGACCTCATCTAGGCGTGCTCTTTAGCTTAAAAGCATTACAACTGAAATGGTACAAGAAGTCCCTGCATTACAAAGACGTTCGGTTCTGAGAAAACTAAATTTGTCTTTACATCAAATTTGCATGTAAGTAGCTGGCCCTCCACATTCGCAGGGATTAGGGGTGCAGGGCACCCATGGAAATAGAAAAACCACAAATATTTCTAAGGCCCCCACCTACCCAAACTCACCCAACTGTTTTCTCAGGAACAGAACTTGTTTGTAATCTGAGGACTCCCCGTATAAAAGCTCCCCCTCAGCATGCCTTGGCTTTTGTTGCCTCCTTCTAGAGCTAAGAAAATAATGCAGTATCTTCTTTATTTGAAAAAGCAATAAACTAGGAGAGGCATCCCAGAAAGTACCATCTTTGATAACAGCAGTCCAACAGGGAACCTGTTCCCTCTCTGTGCAGGGGAATAGTCTGGGATCTAGTCCTGTACCACAGAGGAAACCCGAGAGTCCACGAGGCAGGATCCACAGCCCTACAGCTGAGACTCGGAGAGTTCCCAAAGGGCAGCACTACCAGGCTCCACTTTGACTCCACTGAAGCTTGGGGTCTAGACCTTCCTACAGAAAGTGCAAATGTCACCTTCCCTGCATGGAAAAGAGATACTTGCCAGTGTGCTCTCCTCAGGAAAGGCCTGAAGAAAATCCGAAGGGCTCAGCTGAAGCTACATTTGCTACCACACAAGTCTTCCCAGGCCCCTATGGAGTTGGCAGACCTCTCTCTCCAAAGGATTAATCCCATCACAAATGATAATGCTTAGCTTGGGCTAAGGGCAAATATGGGGAGGGGGGATTTTAAAAGGCTATATCTGAAGTTCAGCACTTCAGTGTAACAGTCAGCATGATGTGATGGAAAGAATGTTGGATCAGGACCAGAGTTTAACCATGAAACTGTCAGAACATCTTGGGCAGGTCTCACCCCTCTACCCAATTTGTCTCACATGGCAGCGAGAGCTACAAGGGTGGATGCAGTACTGTTATAACATAAGGCAGCCTTCCCCAACCTTGTGTCCCCCAGAGGTTTTGAATTACAACTCCCAGCAATTCAACCATTTGCCATGCTGGCTGAGGCTGATGGGATAGTTTGTGAAATAATTTTACCAACACAAGTTATGTCTTCTAGACTTAAATCCAAGGATAGACACCAAAGATAATCAGGACTACAACTACACGGCATTATTTCTCCCAGCTCAGGAGTTTCACACCACTTTATAAAGTTCTGAGAAAACCATTCTGGGACCAAGAAGACTTTGCATACCTTGATGGATATTCTGACACTGCCAACCTGGATGAGCCAGGGAACCCAGGATCTTGAATGGACTCTGCCTGCAGCTCCAGGCACTCCACCAGCACCCCCAGTTATCAATGACAGTGAAGAGCCAGCGCTGAAGCAATTGGTAGTACAAGGCCTCCCACCCACCGTCTTCTCAGGCCAAAGGAACCAGAACTAACCTCTGGGTTCCTGCTGACAGTACCGGAAGAGCTAGGTCAAATTAAAAACCTCTTCTGCTGCCACACTGCTCCCAGTCCTTGGCTGGACAGCTCCCCTGCTGGTTCTGCGTATTTTTCCTCAACCCTGTTCTTGCTCTGCTAGAGAGCTTCCCAGCCTCATTGCCACAAACAGGAAATCAAATCATTCTGCTCAGGGTTGATGGGAACTAAACAAGGAGCTTTGTGAAATAATGATCAGACACTGGCAATTATCCTAATGAAAACTGCATGCATGTGTGTCAGCGGAGGAGAGGTGG